GTTTTGGGATGAAATTGTTCCACCTCAAATCATCAGGCATTGGTAAGAATCTCATAAGGAGCACGCAACCTGGATTCCTTGCATGCATAGTTCACAGTAGGGTTTGCCTCCTGTGAGAATCTAATTCCTGGAGCATTAGGAGGCGAAGCTCAGGTGGTAATGAGGGCTCACACCCTGCTCACCTCCTGCTGTGTGGCCCAGTTCCTCACAGGCCACCAGCTGGTACCTGTCCACGGCCCCAGGGATGGGGACACCTGTGTTGTGGGACCCAGAATCACGGATACAGTGTTACAGCTCGAAAGGAAGAGTGGAGGATCTGAACCTCGCCTTTGCATCTCTCTTTAAGTCAGTTGGGTCATGAAGGGATCCATACCAAAGGTGGAGTGTCTTTGCTCAAGAAGTAGGCTCTGTTTCTCTCCTCCTGCCTCCTATTCTCAAGATGACTCGAGTATCTCTCTCTTTTCTTCCTCTATCATGATCTGATGCTGTGATGGATCTTGGGAAGAAAAACAGAACCCCTATTCGTCCAAGTAGAAACACGTAAGCAGCACTTGCAGGTTTTTTTCCCAATTGATAACGGGGTAGGTTTGGAGCTCCCACACTCCACAGCTCTGATGATGTTACTGCCAAGCCTTGTGCTAAGGAAGACTTTACCTGACCTTCTGTTACCTGGCAGTGATGTTGCCGGGTCCATTTGTGTTAGAGGCAGGTGCAGATCTATGAAACTGATGATTTCTGAGGATCGTTCCTGTGTTGAACCTGATTCTCTTTAACTTTCTTCTTGTCGTTCATCCCAATCTGAGACACATCTCCACAGCTAGCTGTAGCCCTGTCTCCGTCATAAAACCTTTCAGGTTATTCAGGAACATAGTGACCTCTTCTGTCATTGATTTCCTTTGTAACTTATAAAACCTCCTTTGTCTATTGGGCTTTTGTTAGTACATATGGTTTTTGAAAATTAGATAGTATGGTCCTTTGTGGCAGAGATGGTGGCTTACATTTCTCTTAATAAATGTCGTGGTCTGGATATCTTCTGTTCTGATGCTGGAGAAATAACCTCAGCTGGGTAGCACCATCCCTTAAGTCCATGATTTGGGGCCTCAGGGAAGTCAGTGGAAGCTCTAAGATGACTATTTACGGAAGTTTTGCCCTGAAGCTGGAGGTCAGGACCTCCTTTTCTGTACCCAGACTCCACCCCTAGTTTCTTAAAAGGCACCGAGAGAACATTCAAACAATAAAAAGGATCAGGAATTCTCAACTAAAAGCGCTGATGATATTAATGTCATTTTCGCTTCCAATCCTAGCTGGCACCAGCAGTCTATGTGTACTGGGAAGTTTTGGTTCTGGGTCAAGCTGAGTTGAAACTTGGACTGAAGTATGGCCATAGTGATCCCCTGAGACATCAGATAGTCATCTCAAAAATGAAAAACCAGCTTCTCTTTTTCTCCTTGAAGCATGCTTATTTTCTTGAAAAGCCTATTTTGCAAAAGAGAAAACTTCAAAGAAAATACTTTAGATCAATCAGGAACTTAATACTTGAGAAGGGCTGGGCTTGCTTTCTGATCATAGTTATCTTAAGTGGTCCCCAGGCTACCCCACAATTTAGGGAGGGAAGGGCCAGAGACGATCCCACAGGACTGATAAACAATGTGCCAAAGGTCCCTCTGATGGCCTTCCTCTGACAGTGTCTTGTACATCTCATCGCATTTTATTTTATTTAATTAATTCATTTATTTAAAAAATTTTTTTTGAGATGGGGTCTCACTTTGTTGCCCACACTGGAGTGCAGTGGCATGATCTCGGCTCACTGCAACCTCCACCTCCCAGGTTCAAGTGATTCTCCTGCCTCAGCCTCCCGAGTAGCTGGGAGTACAGGTATGTGCCACCAGGCCCAGCTAATTTTTGTATTTTTTAGGAAAGATGGGGTTTCACCATGTTGGCCAGGTTGGCTTTGAACTCCTGACCTCAGGTGATCCACCTGTCTTGGCCTCCTAGAGTGTTGGGATTACAGGCGTGAGCCACCGTGCCCGGCCTCACCTCATTTTAGAATTCCAGAATGGATATACTCCTAGGAGGGTTTGGTTTGTAAACCAAGAATAAAATTTGAAGGCCCGCCAACCATCTGAATGGACTTCCTCCTCTAGGCCAGGGCCCCTCTAAGTTTAACCTGAAAGGCAGGTTCAGACCATCATGGGAAGTGGGGGTCCGGGAAGCAGGGGCTTCACATGCTTCCTTGTACCCCTACAGCATGAACAACATCAACACAGATCAAAGTTCTGATAAGAAACACTTGCAGTTGATTCTCTCTGAAACCTGCTTGCTACCTGGAGGCTTCATCTTCACGATAAAGTTCTGGTCTCCACAACCTTTTATTATGACCCAGACATTCCTGTCTATTGACAATAACTCTTTCAACCAATTGCAGATCAGAAAATTTTAAAATCTACATATAACCTGGAACCCCCCACAACCTTCTATTATCCCCCTTTTCTAGACTGAACCAACGTGTATCTTAAATGTGTTTAATTGGTGTCTCACATTTCCCTAAAATGTATAAAACCCAGCAGCTGTGCCCTGACATCCTGGGCACATATTCTCAGGATCTCCTGAGGGCTGTGTCATGCATCATGGTCACTCCTATTCCGCTCAGAATAAATCTCTTCAAATATTTTACAGAGTCTGACTCTTTCATCGACAGGTTCTTACTTGGAGTCAGGGTGGATGTCAGCCTGAATCCTGTACTATTTTTCTCCATCCCATGTTCTGTTAAATAGGAGGCTCTGTAATGGCTTAGGATGGTAACTTACAATGTATATATATTTTTGGGTGGGGAGGTAAAGCAGGGAATGGGGTTAAAACAGTTTCTGCTATACTTTCAGTCTTCGAAACAGAAATATCTTCATTTTGTCAAGACCTGCGGTAACACAAAAAAGTTTAAAGAACAAGATGTCAGTCATTCAAAGGTGGCAGCCATCGATTAGCACTCTGATGAACATTCTATACATGAAACACTTATACTTACAAAAACAGGATAGTGTTACCTATAGTGTTTTGTTACCTGATTTATTCACTTAAAATTGTGTCACGAATATACCTCTCAGGATTGACTAGGCTATGCTGTGGTACCCAACAAGCCCCAGTTCTCAGTGTCTTAAACAATAAAGTCTTACATCTTGCGTATGCACCTGGCCCATCTTGGGTCAGCACTGGGGCAGCTCTGCACCTGCTGGTCACTGTGAACTTGGCCTTCGTGGAGCAGCCATTGCCCTAAACATTGCTAATCACTGTGTTGAAGAAAAGGCAGTTCTGGGACATTGAACACTAACGTAATGCTTGGCTCAGAAGTGACTCATGCTACTTACATTCATAACCTATTGGCCAGAACTAGTCACGTGACCCTGTCTACCCACAAGGAGTCATCCCTCTGGCAGAGAACTAGGAAAATGTTTGGAGAGCAACACTGAAGTCCAGTAAAATGAATGTTTGTAAATGTAGGTGCAGGCCCTTATGTTCAGTAGCTGTGCTGTGTTAATCATGCCCATTAATCAATGTATCATAGTCTACTTACCCGAACCACATTTTCAGGGCCTTTGAGGCTATTTCTAATTATGAGCAACTGGTTTAAAAGTTGCCATAAATTGGCTGGGCATGGTGGCTCAGGCCTGTAATCCCAGCACTTTGGAAGGCTGAGGTGGGCAGATCACGAGGTCAAGAGATCGAGACCATTCTGGCCAGCGTGGTGAAACCACGTCTCCACCAAAAATACAAAAATTAGCCAGGCATGGTGGTGCATGCCTGTAGTCACAGTTACTTGGGAGGCTGAGGCCAAAGAATCACTTGAATCCTGGGGGCGGAGGTTGCAGTGAGCCGAGATTTCACCACTGCACTCCAGCCTGGTGACAGAGCAAGACTCTGTCTCAAAAACAAAAAAATTGACGTGAAGTCTAGGTATATTATTTAATGTTTTTGATCTAATTGTAAAATTACCCTCCAGAAAGGAAGGCGAATGTATTACTCCCAGCAATAATAGTTTATACTTAAGTTGATCAGATTTGCCATGAGTAATGTCCAAACAACCAGCTAAGATTTTTAAATTAGTCCAGAGGGGCTGGTTAATTAATTATTAATGAGATTTTTTAAAAAGATAATTTTTGGCGGGGCGAAGTGGCTCATGCCTGTAATCTCAGCACTTTGATAGGCCAAGGTGAGAAGTTTGCTTGACACTAGGAGTTTGAGACCAGTCTGAGCAACATAGCGAGACCCTATCTTTACAAAAAATATAAAAATGAGCCAGACGTGGTGGCTCGTGCCTGTAGTCTCAGCTACTTAAGAGGTTGAAGTGGGGGGGAATCGCCTGAGCCAGAGAGGTTGAGGTGCAGTGAGCTGTGATCCCACCACTGCGCTCCAACCTGAGCAACAGAGTGAGACCATGTCAAAAAAAAAAAAAAAGAGATGATTTGATCACCCTCCCACGTCCCTCCTCTGCCTGTGGAAGAATGTAAGGAATCACCCAGAAAAGACCTGATAAAGAGAATTTAAAATAAGTTCAGATTCATTTCAGTTTCCTGGAATTTGAAGTTGAATAGTGAGCCCAGTGGAACTACGACTGAAGACCTTTACTTATTTTAATAGACTCAGTGGCAAAGAGTTTAACTTGAAGCCCCAAATAAAACAAAACAAAATACAAATACTCTAATTATCTTCTTGTTCTTGTCACTTCATCCGTTCTCCTCTTACAGATAGAAGGACGCTCAGGCGCCGAGGTCATGTGATGCTATGGGGTAAGAGTCAACCAGGTCTGACAGGGCTGGATTCTAACGCTGATAAAACACACTCCCTGATAAAAAGTCAAAGTGCTTTTCGGGATAGAAAGGGCTTTTGGGGAATTTGGGTAGATTTCAACTCCCGTGTGTAACTCATTGAAGAATGACCTCAACCATATTTCATGTCTCTTCTCCTTTTTAAAAATCACCTGTTTGACGGTCTCTTCTCTTTTGTAGGTTGGACTCAGAGTCCCGAGGCAAGTCAGACTGTTGCAGAGGCTGGTAGGTACATTCATGGTGTAGCTCAAAGTTTATTCCCTCACTCTTCTGTTTATTTTGAACGTGGTATCCATTTTGCTTGCTGATTCTCCAAATTATATAAAGTTGCTCATAGAAAAATTCTGAGATGAAATGGCATCGCTGAGTCTTTTTTAAGGCTTTCTTTAAGTGGATTTTTTTTTTTTTTTTTTTTTCTGGAAAGAGGTATGATTATTTCAGTAGGATTAGAAACACAAAGGTCTTTGCAGGCTTGTTTTTTAAAGCCTAAATATAACTTTTATTTATTTTTGTGACATCCTTACCCAGGAAATCAGAGCTTTGTTGTACAGTAAACAACTAAAGCAATCAAAGAATTCACATTTCTAGACTAAAGCACCATGTAATGAAAGTTGGACAGGCCCCCAGTGCACGCTGGAGGCTAAGAGATTGGAACTCGGCAAATGTTCAGAAACTCTAAGAGCTTGTTTGAAACGACCTCAGTTCTTCCTTACTACTGTGCATGCAGTGAAATGTCAAAATGTAGAGCCATGCCTTTCACTCTGGTGAGACATGTATTCAGGCCCTCCCCGCACCTGGCTGGTGTTGGAGTGGATTCAGATTTCTTGCCATTACCAATAACACAATCGTCACCATCTTTGTTTGGATTGGGATTTTGGATTAAAATTTTTTTTTTCTTGGCTTTCTCATCTTCTTTCCCTCTTCTGATCCTCCCGATCTTGCCTCCCCATACCCCACATTCATTAGCCTTGTATTCTTTCTTTCATGTTTTTTCCATGTTCACATAATCCTAGACAAACATACATGTACAAAAACATGTCAAGAATTGTGAAGGGGCTGAGATTTAAAGCTACTTACAAGCGAACAAATTAGTTACCATTTCAGGGATGCTAGGAGACTCCTGGGTCAGAGACAAAGGACGACTGATGACTCACAGTAATAGCAGTAGTCAGAGCATGTGTGCCGTTCCCCCAGCAGTTCCCGAAAGGTAACACCTGCCGTGCAGTTGGTTTGCATTGCATGAAAGGAGCCCGCCCTTAACTTAGGGAACTTCACTCTTCAATAATGAACACTGAGCCTGCCTGGTCTTTGCTCCTGGGGGGACATATTTGCTTTATTATTCTGCACATTAAGCCAACCTGTCTTTTTCCCTGAAGGGAGAGATCACCTGTCTTCCAAGGCTGTTCACTGTGCATTTGTAAAGGTAGTTCACAGCAAAGGCAGCTACAGTCTCTGCTTGCAAATTGTGCAGAAACACCAGAGATTCATGGAGAATAGCCTCCCCACAATACATACATACATGCACGCTTTCATTCATTCACTCATTCAGTCACTGAACAAATATTTTTTCAAGTGCCTGCCACTTGCCCAGACTGTTCTAGGCATTGGAGATATAGCCTAGAGAACAGACAAAATAAGAGAACAGACGAAAACGCCTTGTCTTTCATAGAGCTTGAGCTCTAAAGGGGGCAGAGATAGACAGAAAACACAAAGTAAATAAATAATCAATCGTAAGCATATTGATAATTGAGGAGATGACAGGGGTCAGTGAGAGACAGAGTGCAGCAGGGAAGATGGGGGCCCAGGGTATATTTGCCCCTGAGAGACTATGGATCATTGCTCTAAAACCACGGGTGCATGTGACAGCTCGTGCTGACCGAGTGCTTAGTGCACGCCAAGCATTGTTCTAGGTGCTTTATGTGTCGTGACTCAATTACTCTTTTTTTTTTTTTGAGACAGAGTCTGGCTCTTGTTGCCCAGGCTGGAGTGCAGTAGTGGGATCTCGGCTCACTGCAACCTCCTCCTCCCGGGTTCAAGTGATTCTCCTGCCTCAGCCTCCTGAGTAGCTGGGATTTCAAGCACCCACCACCACTCCTGGCTAATTTTTGTACTTTAAATAGAGACGGATTTTGCCATGTTGGCCAGCTGGCCTCGACGTCCTGACCTCAGGTGATCTGCCTGCCTCGGCCTCCCAAAGTGCTGGGATACAGGCATGAGCCACCCTGCCCCGGCCATCAATTACTCTTTTAACAATTCTCTGAGGCATATTACAGATGAGAAAACAAATTCAGAGATTGAGTAACTTTCCCAAGACAACACAGCTGGGAAGAGGTGGTGGAGCCAGGATTTGAGTCTAATTCAAGGTCCAAGTCCAGGCTCTTAACTAATATACCAAATGGGACTCTCAGTTAGATGTATTTCTATCTGTATTTATAGTTATATGTGTTATAATTTACTAAACATTCTTTTATTGATGAACTCTCAATTTATTTACAGAGTTTTTCACCCTGCATACGATGCTTCAATAAACACTTTCATTTCTTCTTTTATGCGGGTGCCTTTAATTCTACAACGTATATTTTCAATAGGAGGATTGCTGATTCAAAGTGCATGTATATTTCAAATTTTGCTGGGCTTGGTGGCTCATGCCTGCAATCCCAGCAGTTTGGGAGGCTGAGGCAGGTGAATCACCTGAGGTCCATAGTTCGAGGCCAGCCTGGCCAACATGGTGAAACTTTGTCTCTACTGAAAAATACAAAAATTAATTGGGTGTGGTGGTGCATGCCAATAATCCCAGCTACTTGGGAGGCTGAGGCAGGGGCAGGGAGATCATTTGAACTCGGGAGGTGGAGGTTGCAGTGAGTTGAGATCACGCCACTGCACTCCAAGCTTGGGTGACAGAGCAATATTCTGTCCCCCTAAAAAATTTTTTTTGATAGATGTCAGATTAATTTTTGAATACTATTACTGTTAACACTGTCTGTATTCATTCCATGTCTGTCAACAATGATGAATACACACATTTCTGCACGCAGTTGATAAAATTACTCTTTTTCTCTTTTTAATCTGCCAGTCTTTGCTTAGGAAGTAATATCTCATTGTTCCTTTAGCTTGCATTTCCCTGCCTGTGTGTGAATTTGGAATTTGTTTCTTTTATTGCTCAAACCAGTCTCCATAACAAGGATTTGAACATTTTAAATTACGCTCGTTAGGCATCCACAGTCACTCCTGTGAGTTGCTTTTTTAAAAAATGTCGTTTGCCTTTCTTTCTCTTTCTTTCTTTCTTTTTTCTTTCCTTCTTTCTCTCTTTTTTCCATCTTTCTTTCACTCTGTTTCTCTCTCTCTTTCTTTTGTTTTCTCTTTCTTTCCTTCTTTCTTTTTCTCTTCCCTTCCCTTCCCTTCCCTTCTGTCTTTTCTTTTTTGATAGTCTGGCTTTTTCCAAGGCTGCAGTGGGGCAATCTCGGCTCACTGCAACCTCTGCCTCCCAGGTTCAAGTGATTCTCCTGCCTCAGCCTCCTAAGTAGCTGGGATTACAGGCATGCGCCACCATGCCCGGCTAATTGTTTGTATTTTTAGTAGAGACGGGGATTCACCATGTTAGCCAGGATGGTCTCATCTCCTGACTTCGTGATCTGCCCAGCTCAGCTGCCCATCTTTCTATTGTGTTTTTTATCCACCTAATTTATCAGAGAGCTTTGTATGTTATAGATACCTTCTCTCTTCTAAACTGGAAGATATCCTCTCGAAATCTATCATTTATTAACTTTGTTTATGGTATATTTGCCATGTAAAAGTGCTCAGTTCCTAAGTAATAAATAGTTTATGTTTTCCTTTCTAGCTTCTAAGTGTACAAAGATTTTCTTGACTCCCTGGCTTAGACCATTTTATAACCTCTTAGATTTTCTTAGAAACTTCTTAGAATTTTGAAAGTCTTACTTTTACAAGTATCATAAATTTTTAACAAAAATGTGATTGACCACTCAGTTGATACTGGAATGATCTTTCCAGTGGTAGACCTGGAGCTTCACTCTCTTGTGTGAATGTCTTCAGTGAGTCCACATCCCTTGTGGGATAAACTCCAAGGACACGTGTGACCCTGCGTCCTGTGGCTCCTTCTTCCCTCTGGAGCTCACTTCATCCTTTGAGTCTCCTTCTAGCCTGTGCCCTTGCCATCTCCCCCCAGTTGTCGTTCTCTGAATGTTCCGTGCTTGAATTAATGAATAGAATGTGAATGGCAACAGCTGGTACTCCCGTAACATTGCCAGGACCGCAGGAATTTATTTGATTTTACTCTGAATTAATTAGACACCCTTTTTATGAAGCTCCCTGGCATCACATACACACAAAATATTTACTCTTTGGAAAGCAGGAGCGTCTTTGTGTGTGAGTTTCCACAGTGCTGAACAGATCCTGGCCTGGCTTTCCCAAGGTCATTCGCTGCCATCATTTAACCTCCTGACTGCAGGATCTATCCTGGTGTCTGCTTTGCAGCAGGTATTCTACAGTTTGTACTCAGGGTTGGTTTCCAGCGGGTGTGGTAAGACGCACAGACACAGAAATGACTGACGTGAAGGAGGAAGCTCATACTCACAGATCCCTGGAGGCAGAGGTGGCAGCACACCACACCAGGCCACACCGGGAGGCACCTGGGTGGGTCAGGAGCAGAAGGTGCAGAGGATAGCACATGTCTCAGAGCCTGCATTGGGGTTTTCATGGGAAGGACTGGGCGAGGTGGGGTAGTAGGTAGGCTGAGGAGGGTTAGGATTGGCTCTAGGGGTCCCTGGTCCTGGGGGGATTTGGGGAAGTATTGGCTTGGTGCATAAATTTGATTTTTTTTTTTTTAAACAGAGACTCACTCTGTGGCCCAGGCTGGAGTGCAGTGGTACTATCTCAGCTCACTACAACCTCCGCCTCCCAGGTTCAAGCGATTTTCATGCCTCAGCCTCCCAAGTACCTGGGATTACAGGCACACATCACCACACTCAGCTAATTTTCGTAATTTTAGTAGAGATGGGTCTTGCCATACTGGCCAGGCTGGTCTCAAACTCCTGACCTCAGGTGATCCACCTATCCTGGCCTCCCAAAGTGCTGGGATTACAGGCGTGAGCCACCGCGCCCAGCTGAGGTGCATGAGTTTGATACGGGAGATGGTTGGATGTGTGGCCCTGGACTGCTCAGTTTATACAGCAAAGGTGTGCTTGTAGCGGGGTTGTCTGCTGTTTCTA